CCAACCACAGAAGAAGCATTTAGACCACTTTAGCCAAAAGGGAATCGCCTATCCCAGCAGTCAGAGGGGAGGGGAGGGGAGGGGAGGGGATATTTTAAAAATATGCAATGGTATGTGAACGCAATTTTCCAATTTATTAGGAAACACACTTTATTTCATCCCTCCTAAGGCACACCTCTCTATAATTCCATCTGAGCTCTATTTCCATTTCTTCCCTTTCCAGAGAGGGAGAGGACTTTATAGTTGAGGAAAAAGAAGAAAGCCTTAGTTCTTTCCTCTTTCATGCCAGAAACTTGATCAAAGGTGTCAGATCTACTTATTCAATGGCTTTCAGAGGAGATATGCAGGAGGCCCCACGCAAGAAGGAAGGGCTAACGCTACCTTTTTGAGGTTCAAGAGACCAGGAAGAGCTCAGTACACCAAATATCTTTAGAACTTAGGTAAGTAAAATATTACTCCATTTGGTGCAATTTAATTAACCTGCACCATATTATGGAAATCTTGTATTCCTTTTAATGGCAAAAATCGCAATTACTTTTGCACCAACATAATAAATAATGTGCATTGTCTTTCCCATAGATAGCCACTGCTGCATTAGGGAAATCTGTGTGCAGGAAAGTACTGATGGTTTGGTACCTCCCTGTCAGCAGGTTAAGAGCAAATATTGCAAGGGTACCCTGGGGCTGAAGAAATTGCAAGCATTGAACATTATATGTTTGCACATAAATGCTATGCAAAGGAGACATTGATCAATCCAGCGTACTCAACAGTGGTTTTTGCCACAAATGCAGAATTCTTTGTCTGGGACAATATTTTTCAATTTTCATCAGTTTCCCAAAAAATAACTTAATACTGGGGCTAATTCCGACTATTCCTCTCAGGGGAAGTGTGGATCAGGTCTGAAAATGTGTCATTAAATTAGGCTGCAAGACAAGTTATGCTAATAAAATAAGAACCCAGGAGAAGTGGCTTGTGGCTGTTAAAGAAAATCTTGCTGAAGTTACAAAGAATTTTGTGGTAGAGGGCCACTACATGATCTTGACTGTATCAATAAAAGTCTCAGAGCAAAACTCTGGGAGATTCAATGCAGATGACCTACCAGTTGGATGTGGAATTTGAGCAAATCATCCTAACATTTTGCTACTCATCTCCAAATCACAGGCTTGCATAAAATCACAGGCTTGCATAAAGTGTCTATCTATCTCAGACACTTTGCAATCTACGAGTCTGCAATAAGGAATGAATGTGTGTGTGTGTGTGTGTGTATTTTAAAGAGGTATATATGTGGTTTCCTTGGTTTATGTATATAAGTCACTTGATTGCTTATATGGGAATATTTTGAATACTGGATTAATTGAATAAATGAAATATAATTCATCATGTACAAAACTTTACATAGTTTCCTCTGCTTGATCATTATTCCTGTAAGTCTCCATAGTAATATCTAATTGTATTTTTAGTGAGGAAGCTATTTTGGCCTGACCTTCAAAACTGTCTTTGCATTTGGGTAGGACAAAAGACTAGCAAAAAAGCCTGCGGGGTTATTTTAAGTATTCTTAGGATTTAGTATTCTTCAGACTGTCTGGGTTAGCTGACTTGTGAAAAAACTAAAGAGACAGGATACTCAGTACATATGAATATAACAGTTCACTCCTCAGTATTTCTGGAACAGGAAGGATTTTTCCTCATGCCCCCAACCGCCTCTAACCAAACAGAAAAGCAAGAGAACAAAATTCTTTAAATCTTAAAAGGAAGCTATGCATAAGCAGTGATATATACAAAATTGATATAGGTCATCAATTTTGTCTCACTGGGATATTCATAATCAATCCCTAATAACTAACAGCCAAACTTCTGTAATAAAAAACTATATAATCAAATATTATACACATATTCATTGGTAGTGTTTTCTGCCAGCATGTAAATGCCACACCTAAAGAACTTCAAACATTAAGTATTTTCCATTTGGATCACCTGGGGGAATTTTTGCACTATGGATTCCTTGGCTCCATTCCAGATATACTCAAACAGAATGTCTGCCCATGGAGCTCAGGATTCTGCATTTTCAAACATTTCCTCAAGTGGCTCTCAAACAACCTGTCTCCAGCCCAACTTTGAGATCCATTTTTTACCACACATTGACTTCAGAAGCCTTCATGTACATCAGAAGTAATCTCAGTGTGGGGAAATTCCAAAGCACAGGAAACAATGATACCATTTGCGTTGTTACCCAGATGATTCTAGCTACATACACCTATTATGCAGCATTTATGTCTGATATGAGGCTTCTGTTCAGTTGACCCTATTGATATCAAGTGTACACAACTGACCCGTCAGGCTATTGCAACACTCTTAACTTAAATGTAGGGAGAATGTGTGCAGGGCTTAGCTGAAGCTCACCATGGGGTATGAAGTGACTCAGTCTCATTGCTATAACCCTTGGGTTCAGAAGACACTGAACAAACGCTTAAAAACTGTTTTAGCTTAATGCATGAGGAGATATTTAACTCTTCAAAGAGTCAAAGAATCAAGGAGAAGGGGTTGAGCTGGATGGCCAAAATAGAAGTGTCCATTGATTGCACCCCACACATACCAGCAGAAACACCAAATTAAATAACTATCTACACACAAAAAAAGCACCTACATAGGAAACAAATATCAAGTCAACTATCACAGTATCTGATTTTAACTTCATATCACTGAAACAGGCACAGAAGAGGTTAGGAAAGACAATTTTGAATCACTAAGGCCAACATTCCCCCATCTCCCAGCAGCCACCACATGGAGCTGAAATGGAATCTGAGAGCACGGGGGAGGGAGAGTGCAGCAATTGTGGAAATCTGCACTGAACTCAGTGCTGCCCTGTCACAGTCCAACCACAGAAGAAGCATTTAGACCACTTTAGCCAAAACGGAATCGCCTATCCCAGCAGTCAGAACCTGAGTTTGGGAAAGCCTTGCCACAGCAGGCTAAAGTGCTCTGGGGTTCTAAACACATTTGAAACTCAATCTAGGCCACAAGAACTACAACTACAAGGCAAGTCCCAGTGCTGTGCTGGGCTCAGCACCAGAGGACTTGGACACCACTAGCGTGACATCTGTCAGGGCAGCTAAGGGAGTGCTTGCACAACCGCTCCCCCAACCACAGGCAGCACAGCTCACAGCAGTGAAAGTGACTCCTTACTTCTGCTTGAGGAGAGGAGAGGAAAGAGTAACTAGGACTTTGTCTTACATCATAAACATCAGCTCAGCCACAGTAGGATAGGACACCAGTCAGAGTCATGAAGCCACCATTCCAGGTCCTCGCTCCTGAAGGACATTTCTAGACACAACCTGCACCAGAAGAAAACCCACTGCCTAGAAGGAAAGGACCCAGTCCTGCCAGGATTCATCACCTGCTGACTGAAGAACCCTCAGGCCCTAAATAACCAGTAGCAACACCCAGTAGTACACTCCATGGGCCTTGGGTGAGACTCTGAGATATATTGGCTTCAGGTGAGACCCACCATATTCACAGCAGTGGCGGTCATGAAGGGACAATTCTTCTGCTTGAGAAAAGCAGAGGGAAAAGTAAAGGGGATGCTGTCTTGCAGCTTAGATAGCAGCTCCGCTACAGCAGGGTAGAGCACCAAGCAGGCTCTTGGGTTCCCAATTCCAGATCTTGGCTTTTTGTTGGCATTTCCAGACCTGCCCTGGGTCAGAGGGGAGCCCACTGACCTGAAGGTGAGTCCCAGGCAAGGCAGCATTCACCACAAGCTGACTGAAGAGCTCTGGGGCCTTAAGGGAACATTGGAGATAGCCTGGCAGTACTCCCCTTGAGCCTGTGCTGGAGGTAGCCGTGGGGAGAGGCTCCTCTGCCCATGGAAAGGTGAGGGAAGACTGGAAGGACTCCGTCTCATGGCTTGAGTCCAAGCTCAGTCACAGTAAAACAGAACACCATGTAAACTTCCCAGGTGTTTTACTTTGGTCCCTGGCTCTCAGACAGTACCTCTGGACATGTCTGTGCCTAGAGGAACTCATCATCCTGAAGGGAAGGACACAAGCCTGGCTAGTATTGCCACCTGCTCTAGGGCCTTATAGAGCTTTAGGGCCTAGAGTGAGGCCCTTACTTCCAAGAAAGGAATAAACTCTTTTCCAGTGCAGCTAAACTGTAAAGCTCATAACACAAGTAGGTATTCTGTGCATATTCACTTCTTTTTCTCCCTGCCCAAGGTGCTGCAGTGTGAATCTGAAGGTGGCAGGTTCAACACTGAAGTGACAGAGTGCATGAAAGTTATGGTAGACTCAGAAATCTGTTCTTCAACATTTAGACTGTATTTATGCTGGCTGGATTTTCTGTTTATTCACCTATTATTCTCTACCCCTGTCAGCAACCAAGAAACACGCAGCCCATCTCATGCTGTCTTAAAGGGAAGAAAGGAAGAAGTTTTGGGCTCTTGGCCTGCAGGAAGCACGCAGTGCGGCGCCCCCTGCCGGCCAATACGACGGCCACGGAACTGGGAGACCGCTAAGGCTCTGGGCGGCACGGAGTTGTCCATTCTCCTCCCTCTTCTCCAGAAGCAGCTTCTTCTGGTGACACCCCGGGAGCCACATGGATTTATTTCCCTAAAGGAAGCAAGTTTTCCACCTGGATATCATCCCTAATACCCTCCGAAGGAGCCCATTGAGGGGAAAGGAACAGAACGTCTGGCAGAATGTAGAAGGACCCTATGATCCAGGAAACCTAGGGCCAGCCATCATGAGGTTTTATGAGAGCAGCTGGTAGGAAGATTAGCCCCAGGAGAAGGGGATTGTCTAGCAGCTCGGTCGGAGCAAGGCCTTTCCAAAGTATTATTTCCCTAATTCAGGCTGCCTCCCACCGACCCTCCACCACCACCTTATCCTCCACCAAAAGCCCTGCCACTGTGGCAGGGATAGGGGATGTGGGGTTGATGGGGAACAGGCTGTAAGAGAGACGCAGGAGTCTATATGGGTCTGGGAACAATGAGGGGGTCCACGTGCAAGGGAAGAAGCATTTACAAAGAAGACATAGACAGTGCTGCAAAGATTTGAAGGCATAGGGTGCAAGTCACTCAGGTGCCAGTATCAGGAGGAACCTAGCCATCCAGGTGAACAGGTGCCCCCTTTTTACAGCCCACTCGCATGGGCCTGGTGGACTCCTTATTTTTGGTAGTGGCAGTGAAGAGGTCGGGTCCCTGTGCTGGCAAACAGTCAGTGACATTGACATCATGAGTCCTGTTGTGGTAGCTGCACATGGAGGGGCTGTTGGTACAGGGCACTGGTGGAGGTCTGCAGAAATCTGCTATGGTGGTCAGATTCTTATGAATGAATGTGTGGATCTGCTTGCATTTACCTCTATGGATCAGCCAGCGGCACCTCATCGTCACATCACAGTATCGGTGGTGTCCTCTAGGGACCCAAGACCTGGGGTTGTCTATATGTCGTGTTGAGAAGGGCAGAGCTGGAGTGAAGACAGTTAGGTCCAAAAGGAGGAAGAGGAGAAGGGTCCACATCAGATTCATGTTTCCTGTGAAAGCATTTCAAAGAAGAGCAGAGTCAAAAGAGCAATCTATGGTCCCTTGTCCTGTTCTTAAGAAGTCTTGGCCCAACACTTAATGTTTGCAGTTCTCCCCTCCTGCCTTTATCTACACTTATTCTTCGTGTACTCATGGCAACAAGTGTTCTCACATCCTTCTTCCACCTCCTTGTCAACAATGGAGAAGGCTACCGCCCTCTCAACCCTTTATGGCATTGTCCTATGTACAAGGTTATTTGCAAATCCCAAAGTGATTCTTGCTCCTTACCTAAGCAGACCAGTTAAACTAAAAATTTTCATCTCTGAGGTGTTTGCATCTATCAGTCCATCTGCTGCTGACCCATAGCCTGTGAGGTGAGGCAGGCATCACTGACAACCCCTTTTTAGAATGACTTAACTCAGACGGGAATTGACAGATCCATATGACCTGCATCTTAGAAAATATTTTCACTTCCTTAAATACAAATGTCTGTTTTAACACTGTTATTAAAAATGTGAGCTTTTCAATTCTAAGAGAGTAGAGTTTATATTTCTCCCATGTATTTCTCTGCCTCAAAATAAAGATTCCCAACTCTTCCATGTATACAGCCCATCATCCAGAAATGTTCTAATTCTTGGTGATCAGGGATTCTGGGTGACTGGGCGTGAGCCTTCTGTCTTTAGATTTAATATCCAACTCTTTTTTCAAATACCTGGGAGTTCCAGGAAAGGGTTTTCTGCAGAGTAGATGACATCCACAGAGATGGATATATCCCTCTCAGAGGTGGATACTCCTAGTAAAAGTGGAATCCCCGTTGCCTCTCTCCTTCTTCTAATCTTGTAGAAATTACATTGTGGATGGTTTCTTCCCAGAGGTCAGGGTGCAGGCTAAATGGAAAACTCTCAGGCCTGTCAATGGTCTTAAACAGATTGCCAGGTAGTACTAATTTTATGCTTACTATTTCACACCTAAAATATTCACCAGCATCACACAGAGTGCCTACGACATCACTGCAAACATGCAGAAACTTGGAGTTTAGTGTCTATCATAAGCTTGCTATTGGAGCTTGGCAAATCACCTTATCCTTCTACTCCTCATCTCTAAAGTGAATATTATGGACAAAAGATATCTTTCAGTTCTGACATTCTGTATTTTTTTTATACATTACTGTGTGTTTGAGTTCATGTGTGATTTTGTGTATATGCATATTGGTTTATACATGTTCAGGTTAGGAAAATACTTAGTTTGCAAACTGAGTTTCCATTTGAGAATTGTTAATTTAATTAAGTGTAATTTTTCTTTAAAGCAGTCATTAGCAAGGCCAAGAAAAATTCAATCACTATTATGTAAACATTACAGCATAATCTGTTTTTGTCCTCCACCATTAAAGTTATACGGGTTTTTTGGGTTTTGTTTCCTTGTTTGTTTGTTTTTTGAGACCAAGTCTTGCTCTGTCTCTCAGGTTGAAATGCAATGGCATAATCTCGACTCACTGGAACCTCCGCCTCCCAAGTTCAAGCAATTCTCTGCCTCCGCCTCCCGAGTAGCTTGGATTACAGGCATGGCCCACCACGCCCGGCTAAGTTTTGTATTTTTAGTAGAGAAGGGGTTTCACCATCTTTCCCAGGCTGGTCTTGAACTCCTGACCTCGTGATCTACCAGCCTCGGCCCCCCAAAGTGCTAGGATTACAGGTGTGAGCCACCGTGCCAGGCCATATTTATTTATTTATATTTATTTTTGTGTATTTATTTATTCTGAGATGGAATTTCACTCTTGTTACCCAGGCTGGAGTGCAATAATGTGATCTCGGCTCACCACAACCTCTGCCTCCCAGGTTCAAGCGATTCTCCTGCCACACCCTCCCTAATAGTTGGGATTACAGGCATGTGCCACCACGCCCAGCTAATTTTGTATTTTTAGTAGAGTCAGGGTTTCTCCATGTTGTTCAGGCTGGTCTCGAACTCCTGATCTCAGGTGATCCATCCACCTCAGCCTCCCAAAGTGCTGGGATTACAGGCATGAGCCACCGTGGCTAGAGGGAGGCCTCAAAAGTCTTTTATATAATTAAGCAAAACTGACTAATCTGTGGCAAGAAGCTGAGTTGAGATTCAAAACCTAGATTTTAACATCCTTGATTTCTATCTGCTTTATAATTGGCCAAGTTGCCAAGAAAATAGACATGAACTCTTTTTTTTTTTTTCTTTTGAGATGGAGTCTTGCTCTGCTGCCCAGGCTGGAGTGCAGTGCTGTGATCTCAGCTCACTGCAACCTCTGCCTCTCGGGTTCAAGCAATTCTCCTGCCTCAGCCTCCCAAGTAGCTGGGATTACAGGAACCCCCCACCATGCCTGGCTAATTTTTGTATTTTTAGTAGAGACAGGGTTATGTTGGTCAGGATGTTCTCAATCTCTTGACCTCGTAATCTGTCCACCTCATCCTCCCAAAGTGTTGGGATTACAGGCATGAGCCACTGCACCCAGCCAGAAATGAACTCTTTTTGAACTTCATGCTCAGTTATTCATGTTTAATTCACACAACCATTCTGACAGGTATTTCTTATGATGATCACTTCTATGGATTTTATAATTTCTTGTGTTTATAGCCTCACATAACAGACCATTGTGTTTATAATATCCTATCTGCTGGTGATATGGTTTGGATCTGTGTCCCCACAAAATCTCATGTCAAACTGTGGTCCCCAGTGTTGGAGATGGTACCTGGTGGGACATGATTGGATCATGTGGGTGTATTTCTCCTGAACGGTTTAGCACCATCCTCTTGGTGCTGTTCTTGTGATAGTGAGTTAGTTATGAGATTTGGTTGTTCAAAAGTGTGCAGCACCTCCTCTCTCTCTCTTGCTTCTGCTTCCACCATGTGAGACACCTCAAGACCACTTGCTTCTCTTTACTCTGATTAAATAATCTTCATATAGCATTTTGATAACTGGTCTATCCTCACCAGTACTAGTGTGTATTACTAGCACAGAAGACAAAATATCATTGGAATAGAGTCTTCAGAAGTAAACTATGAACAATGGCGATTTGGTAAATCTCATAATGCTGGCATTTCTAACTGGAGAGGAAATAATGAATTGTTCAATCAATAGCACTTAGAATATTGGTCATCCATTTAAAAAAATAAGACTATATCCCTCTCTGATAACATAGAGATTTTTTTTCTTTTTTTGTTTTTGTTTGTTTGTTTGTATTTTTGAGACCACCTCTCACTCTGTTGCCCAGGCTGGAGTGCAGTGGCTTGATCTTGGCTTCTTGTAACCTCTGCCTCCCGGGTTCAAGAAATTCTCATGCCTCAGCCTTCTGAGTAGCTGAGACTACAGGCATGAGCCACTATGACTGGCTAATTTGTATTTTTGGTAAGGGAATGCTTTCACCATGTTGGTCAGGCTGGCCTAGAACTCCTGACCTCAGGTGATTCACCCTCCTTGGCCTGCCAAAGTGCTGGGATTTACAGGCGTGACCCACCGTGCCTGGCCATCATAGAGTTTCGAAATTGGAAAAGAGGGAACAAAACTGTCACTATTTACAGATATAATAGTATACATTGAAAAATCTAAAAACAATGTGTCGGGACTCAGAAACAATAACTCAAACTATGGTGCTTTGGAATGAGGAGCACTCTGGGCTTTTTCTGTTGCTTGTTTGTTTTTAATTAAAAATATATATATTTATACGGGTATAAATTAGGTGTATATATTTATGGAGTACATGAGATATTTTGATACAGGCATATAATGCCTAATAATCACATCAGGGTAAATGGGGGTATCCATCCCCTCAAGCATGTATCCTTTATGTTACGAAGAAGCCAATTATACTCTTTCAGTTATTTTAAAATGTACAATAAAATTATTATTGACTATAGTCATCTTATATTTGTGCTATCAAATACTAGATCTTATTTTTCTTTTTTTTTTTTTTTTGAGACAGAACCTTCCTCTGTCACCCAGGCTGGAGTGTGGTGCCGTGATCTCGGCTAACTGCAACCTCTGCCTCCTGGGTTCAAGTGATTCTCCTGCCTCAGTCTCCCAAGTAGCTGGGATTACAGGCATGCACCACCACACCCAGCTAATTTTTGTATTTTTCGTGGGAACAGTGTTTCACCATGTTGCCCAGGCTGGTCTCCAACACCTGACCTCAGGTGATCAGCCTGCCTCAACCTCCCAAAGTGCTGGGATTACAGGTGTGAGCCACCGCACTCGGCCTATTCATTGTATTTTTTTACCCATTAACCATTAAATTCCCCCTCACCCTCCAATGCTAAGGGCTTTGAACTAAAGAAAATGAAAGGGTGTTACAAGCAGGCTCAGAACAAAGGACTTTCTTAACTTCTCCTATTTTGCCCCCAAGTGCAGGATGAAATTCTTCCTCTCTGAAGTTACCTTACCTGAAGCTCTCCCAAAAGAATCCAGTGGTCTTTGATCACCTCCCTGAGATTTTTCTTAACCAGGGAAGATTAAACTCACGGCAGAAAGTAAGACTGAGGGATGTCACCACACCTAGGCAGACTTTGTCAGAAGCTGTTGTCTATTCTTTGATCATATTCCAAAGAGTTTCCAAAGAGTATAATTTACAAACTATGGTCTGTTCTTTGGGTCCATTCAACTCTCCTAAAAATAATTTCCTACTCCTCAAAATTGCCTACATTCCCCCATCTCTCTCTCTCCTGTGAAGAAGGGTATATAAGATTCTGAACCTCCCTGGGTTACTGGGTAGACATTCCCTCGTCATTCCCCCATGAATACAATAAACTTGCCTTTTCCTCCAGTTAATCTACCGTTGGTTTATTTCAGCAAACTCAAACCTTAAAGGGAAAGGGAAATTCCCCTTTGCCCCTACACATGCAAATTAGTTATTTAGATTAATAATTGTTAGATATAAAATTGGCATATAGTTTATTTATTTTTATATTTCAGCACAAGGGAGGGAAAAATGACTTCCACCCTTTTAGGTTTTTTTGTTGTTGTTGTTGTTGTTGTTTTGCTGGGCTACAAGTTAGATTGATAAAAGACAGAGTAACATGAGAAAAACTATATTTAATTATGTATGCATACATAGGAGTCCCACAAAAATATGAGAATCAAAGAAGGGCCAGATGAATAAAGCTTACAAAGCATCTTAAGCTACAGAAAGAAACAGAGGCTTGAGGCTTCTGGAGGGTGGTGGTGCCAGTTATGGGAGTGTGGGAGGAGGAAATATATAGTAAATACGTGGTAAATAAAGGTTGCTTTGTTATGCAGGTAAGAGTCTCTCAGGAGATAAAAATTGTCTTGGAGCAGCTCTCTTCCCAATCAAAAACATCTTTACCAATGAAAATTTCTTTTATAGATCTGAAATTCTTTTACAAAAGGGCAGCGTTTCAGAGCTAACTTCTGTGTGGGCAGTTTCTCTAAATAAATAATTAATAATCAATATGCTAGAGAGAAATATTTTGGAGTGGTGCGTTCTGAGCCCTAACCCCAGCAACAGGCAGAAACTGAAATGTTAAAATGATACAATTTGCAATATTGTTAGAAATATTAAGTTCATAAGGAGAAAAACTAGGAAAAGATAAAGAACTTTATGGACAAAAGTACAAAACTTTATTGTGAGACATTAAGGTAAATAGAGAGTTATAGCATGTTTACAGATTGCAAGACTCACTAATTTAGATATAACAATTTTTCTGCAAATCGACCTATAGATTTGTAATTGCCTGATGGGTTCTTCCTGCCTGCTGCACAAACAAAATCAGTTCACTGAGACCGTGGCATTGCAGTAAAGAAAGGGTTTAATTAACACAAGGCCGGCCACATGAGAGACAGAGTTTTTACTGAAATCAGTCTCCCAGCAGTCTTGGAGGCTAGGGGTTTTTTGTTTGTTTGTTTTTTGGGTTTTTTTTTAGAGAAAGTCTCACTATCTCACCGGGCTGGAGTGTAGTGGCGTGAT